GAAAGGTATTTCTACACTAATGTTTTATAACACAATTCCCTTATTCAAGCGTCATTAGCAAGAGTACAGATCAATTTCATATGGTATTTAAAAAAATAATATGAAAGCAAAGCTTGCTACATTTCCTCTCTCTCCTACTCCAGATTTTTTTCTGCTCTCAAGCTTTAGGGTTTTACCTTCCTGAAGGAGCAATTCTGTGCAGTGGCTGGGTAAAACACTGGCTTGCAGCAGTGGTCCTGCTCTTTCCCCATTCTCCTGCCACTCCTGAAAAAGACATCAGGCCACTCCTTTCCACCTGCTCTGGTACCCATTTTATCCCCATACGAATGAGTTCAGTTCAGTAAACTGGCTGAAAACTACAAGTTTTTCCCTTGATGTGTTACTTTTTTGCTAACTCAGTCAAACAGGATTCTGCCATGTCACGAGTGCTCCAACTTCTCAGGCTGGGCAGAAACTTCAAAAGTATCACCAGGTAAAATAAACCAATGAGAGCACATTTCCAGGCATCTCATCTCCCTGCTACTGTTCTTGTAAAGGCTATTACAAAAATAAGGTGGAAGTTGCCTCTTTCAGCTCCAGTGAGCTATTAGATTAGCTCAGGAAGTCTTATGGCACTGCACCCTTAAGCATGCCATGCTGGCAGATGTTTGGGAGCCCCATGAACTCACTTTGGACCGAAAAATAAACTATTACTATAGCAAACACTGAAACAGCCAATCTCAAGAGCTTATCTGAATGTACAGGTTTGGATTACTGGGACCCACAGCTTTTCACAAAGCCCAAAGATCAATTAGTCTTTTTAATGGGATGCAACTGAGTGCCTTTCACTGCACAGAGTTTACAGTGCTGCTTCTCTTTCCCTTATTTCACCTCCCTCAAAACCTGGTTGCAGTAGCTAAGGTGAACTAGCTTATGGTTGCAAGAAAAAAAGGTCTGGGATGTGTGAAGGCCTCCTTAAATTTGCTGTCTGCCAGTGGAAATATGACAGTGAAGTGCATGGTCCAATAAAAATAAATCGAGATTCAGGATTACTATTTCTGTATCCAAAACGCAATGACCACATTATGCAAAGAACTGATCTGACAACAACAACAACCAAAAAATTCCCTTTTGCAGGTTGAGATTTGTTTAAGATTTTGCTGATTTTGCATCATTACAGTTTATACCAGATTAGACATCATCTGCTTTCAAGCAGCTGGCAGAAAGGTCTAAACCTGGGATAAACTGTTTTTTATGTACTCTGGCTAATTCTATAAAAATGTGACCATATGCTCATCCTGATCCAGAACAAACACATGCTGTTAGGTGAGCTGGTGGTGGGATACAGTAACACTGTCAAATCACAGCCTTAGGGAAGCTACAAAAACTCTGGTAATTCAGGTCAGCATCTCACAACTGGCTCTCAGTATTGTTCCTCCTAAAGAATTCAGTACCCATCCAGGATGGAGGTAATAGTGCCATCAGGAGTACATGGTGCAGCATGTGGGTAGATCATTGCCCATGGTGCTACTTTTCCCTTAATCCCCACATATTTTAAAGCAAACACCCCAGTAAAATTGGGGAACTGTGAATGGTGGTCAATCTAAGAAATGGATAGTCACACTGAGAAACACATGAAAAGCAGCAATATACTTAAATTCTAAAGCCTTGTTTTAATAAGATATTTACTTTTACAAAATATTTCTTGCTTGTCATATCCTTATGACAACATTCCTTTTCTTTTTTCCCTCCCATATATATATATATAAATTTTTTTTTTTTTTTTGGGTAGAGAGAAAATTAACTTCTCTTGTGTTAATCACCAAACTGAGCCCTGGTTTTCCATCTGATCTTAAAATCAAATTTTATTTTTCAGTATTTGTACTAAAAAGAATAGTTTCTCTCAAGCTAATGGTACACTAAAGCACTGACGGCATAAAAACAAATGCTTGTTTGGTCTTGTTCTGAAACTGAAGTCTTGCCCTCTGGCCAGGAACCAAATGTGCTACCAGATGAGTGATACAGAGACACTGAAGAGCAACATGAGAGAGTGAGACTGCCAAGACTGCACTGTATCACCTTCATATCCAAGGCTTTTGTCTGAATTAAAAAAACTCAAGCACATACACACAAAAAAACCCAATCCAAAACAAAAACAACTGAAAAAAAGCCACAAAAAAGTAATCCTTTGTCTGGAAGCTTGTAAACCTATTCATGACTGTACCACAAGGAGCTTGGTAATTCTCATGCACCATTACATCTTCCAGCAGAAACCAGACATTTCCACTTGATGCTAAAAGTGTTTTCATGCATTTTCCATCAAACAGCTAGGTGTCTGTGAGGGATTTTGTTTTCTTTTTGGCCGCAAATAGAAAGCTTTGTTGATTTTAATTCAGCTTGAATACTACTGACAGGTAGAATTCAGACTTGTAAATAAAGAGTGTTCAGATTACTAAATATCAACATAGAAAAACACCAAGAAATATGTGTAAAATAATATTAAGCTGGGAAAGAGATGATCTACCCTGAATAAGAGAAACTGCCATGTACATTAGGATACATTAAGAGTTACAAAGAAAGAAAGGATGCTTAAATGCAATTGTGAGAGAAGGAGGTACACTTATAACATCAATGCAATTTCTGACACTACATAATAAATCAAATCTCAGTTTCAGTGTGGAATACATATTTTGATATTATTATCAAAGACAAACACTTTTTGCATAAGTGGGTTTAGAAAATGAGCAGTCAGCAAAATCATTACATGGCAGTAGAATTGCATCTACACTTAAGATTTTGTTTGAGAAAGATTTTGAAAGAGAAATACCTTGAAAAATTAAACACCTGCAACCAATATTGCTACATCAGGAAAAAAAAAAGTATTGTAGATATGGTATAAATGTAAATATTGCCTTTGTCTGTGGACCTGTGTAAGTAGCATCCTCCCACAAGTACAACACTCCCCCAGTTAGAATCCAAGGTCAAAATTGCAAAGGCAATGATTCTGGTCTTGACTGTATTGTGTTTTCCCACAGAAACTTCCAAGTTAAAAGTTCATAAAAACCACATCTATATTCCACAGTCAGTCTAGTAATCTGTATCTCTTGAAAGCAGTATTACTGAAGACAGCTAAAAGCTTAGGGATGCTCTTTTTCTAAAACTGGTCAAAATTCATCTCTGAAGTTAGTGGATGACTCCTACCCCCAAAAACTAAGAAGAAGGGAAAAAACTAAACAGGCCAAAACAAACTATCTAAAATCCTAACATGTTGAGAAAACACTGATGAATATAACAGGAAACAACCTGGAAGGGTAAAGAAATATTCTAGACAAATAAATGAGAATTTACCAACTACCAGTGATATTATTCAAATTTAAAAATTGCTAACATTTGATATTACTAAATTTGTTTTGGAATTTTAGCATCATTTTTTTTCTTAAAGGATGTTTGGGGAAACAGTGTTGTTTTCTAATCCAGGGATGCAATTGACCTGTCTGCAAGCTGTAGGCATCACTTCATTGGTGTACCATAGCAGTTCTTTACTACTGCAAAGCCAGTAAAGGGCTTTATCATATTTGGGTCTGTGAAAAAATTGCATTTCATAGTTAAAACTTAAAGTATCATAATCTAGACTTTGGACAACTTGAGTTTGGAAGACAAGGTTTACTTGCATCAGATAGCCCAGCAGAGTTTTATATGGCTTTATAGAAAAGTTCCTTAAATAAGGTATAAACCATTTTTAAAGAATATTCCTTCTGAATCTGAATTGTGGAGGAACACTTAGAACTAAATGACTATATAACTCTATACCTATGTAAGCTGGTAGGTTAGGACTGACTTCACAGGGAAAAGAGATCCAGCTTAAAATTAATTTGTTTCTACAAAAGCCAAAGCTCTCAATGGTATTTGCTTTAAAAAAACTGTGAACTTTCATTGAAAGAAAATGTGGCTTTTCAGGGGTGATTTAGACCTCCCTTGGCAGCAGATACTGATGGATTAGGTGCAGAAGGTTACTTGCAACTGGCTACTTTCTCTAAATCTGTGCCAAGGTTCTTTCAGATCACATAGACAAGAAAATGTTTCTTTTTTAGCCCATATGCAGCAGGCAGTAGTAACTCTTTACCTTCTGTAGTGATTATTTACTCCTCTCTGCTGCACCCACTTTTACTTAGCCCAGCTGAGAAAATTTATTTTTCATTCAAGAGCCCACATTTGGGCAATCACTATTCCCCCATACCTCCTGTGTAATCATCAAAACCCGGAAGGATTACTTCCCTGCTTTTGTATCTATATGCCACCTGGAGGAGATGGGTTTCAGAAAAATAGGTATCTAAGCCTGACAGGAAAGAGTCATGGACAAGCAGAGCCCAAAAGGAAAATGGAATGTTATAAGTGGATGGATGGAACAACATGAGACCAAAAAGGATGGACCTTGCGTTGCAAAGCAAGGAAATATTAATGGGGGAGGTTTCATGGGGAATCCCTGTGGGTGCTGCAGCGGTGTCAGCCTCAGGGCACCGTGATGGAGCTGTGTTTGCACCCCTCACAGAGCACCCTGTTTGGGCAGCAGCACGTCCACTTCTCCTCTCTCCTCCCCGGCAGCACTAAGGAGTTCATTTGGCACACGAGGCATCGCTCCTAAGGGCAGGCACACACAAAAGTCCTTGGCATCATTAGTGGCGTCACCTTTCCCCCTTGCTGCGGGACTTGTCCCACCCCCAGTACACCTTTCTCTGTCCTCTCCCAGGCCTCTCGGCTACTTGTCATTTCCCGATGGGACCCTGCGGGAATAGCGGCAGCGAGAGCTGCTCCCCACGGTGGCAAAACGAGAGATCGGCGGGAGCTGCCGGCCTCGTCCTGCCCTGCCCTGCTCGAAGCATCCCGGGATAACGCCAACCTCGCCGTGGCCCGAGAGAGGAGCGAGGAGGGGGCTTTTGCCGCTCAAGACGCCGCAGCCTGTGGGAAGGCTCCCTCCGGGTACCGCTGTCTCAGGAAAGGAGAGGAGGAGGAGGAGGAGGAGGGTTTTCTTTTTTCCATTACCCCCACCCCCTCCCTCTTTTCCAGCCAGTAAAGAGTGTGTCTGCCCCTTTGAACCTCCAGTACAGCGCCTGCGGCTGCACACACACCCCCCAGACACACACACCGCCGGCTATAAATAAGTTAAGAGCCGGGCAGAGGGCGAGCAGTGCGCGTCTCCCGGCGGGACAAGAGGCTGGGACAGCCCCGCCGAGCCTTCCCAGCGGCTCAGCCCGGCCCACGGGAGCCGGACCCGCGGGTGCCATGGCGTGCGTGGAGCGCTGCTGCCGCTGCTGCGCGGAGGGCAGACGGCACAGCAGCATCCTCTACAGCATCCTACGGAGCCAGGAGCGCCAGGAGCGGGCGGCTCCGGCGGGGCAGGCTCCCCGCGGCTGCCCCTGCGGGTCGAGGCGGCGGGTGGCCCTGCGGAGCCCGCAGGTGGTTTGCAAGGCGGCCTCGGCCGTGCTGGTGAAGACGCTGCGCTTCGTCCAGAACGTGCCCTGCTTCCAGGAGCTGCCTCTGGAGGAGCAGCTGCTGCTGGTCCGCAGCTGCTGGGCTCCCCTGCTGCTGCTGGGGCTGGCGCAGGACCGGGTGCCCGTGGAGACGGTGGAGAGCGCGGAGCCCAGCATGCTGCAGCGCATCCTCACGGCCCGGCGGCACGGAGAGCAGCCCCCGACGCGGGCATCCGCCCCTCCGCCGGGCCGGCAGCACCACGGCCCGCACCTGCCCTCGGCCGGAGAGATCCAGGCCATCAAGGGCTTCCTGGCCAAGTGCTGGAGCCTGGACATCAGCACCAAAGAGTACGCTTACCTCAAGGGGACGGTGCTCTTCAACCCGGGTGAGTGGCCGGGCGGGGACAGCCCGCCCGTATCCCCAGCGAAGCGGGGCTTTTCCTTGGGGGAAAGAGGTGGTGGAGGAGAGGGACCTGAAGCAAGGTTTCACCCTCTGCCCCCGTCTCAGGACCCCGGCTGTCAGGCAGGGAGGGGGGCGGCGGCGGCCAGGTCTGGTATCCCGAGGGTTGGCACCTTCCACAGAACAAAGAGAACCCGGCCGGTCTCTAAGGAAAAGTTGGGAGTCAGCAGAGGCTCCCTGTTGCTTTCGGAGCTTCCACTTTCCGAGAGCGGGACCCCGACCCCCCACCCCCGCCCTCCCGAGGGTCTCGGGTCTGCCCGTGCTGTGCCCGGGAGGTCTGCACTCCCTGGAGAGCAAGAGAAGGCTCAGGGCTTCCAGCAACAAAGCGCTGTTTTGTCTTTGTGTGTAGCACTTATTTGCTAACTCTCTGATTTGCTCTTATTTGCTAACTCATCACACTGATGCTCAGCCAAGAGCTTATTATCATGTGGGTGACTCACCTTAAAGGTAGCTGGCAGGCTGGATCCGGCACTTCCCAAGCGTGGCGGTGCCCTGTGAAAGTGGGACAGGGATTTTCCTCTGCTCCCACTGTCAAACTGTTACTGATGGTTAAGTTTGTATAGTGTTACTTTGCATTTATCATACTGCTCATGTAGCTGTGCCTTCCATACAAATAAGAAAGAAAAAGTTACAATGGTGAAGCTAACGTTACACAAGTCAAATTCTGAAGCTGGTTTAATACAAAAAGACAGAAGTATTGCTCTGGTAGGAAAAAAATTTTCCTGAAAGGGTGGTCAAGCATTGGACCAGGCTGCCTACGGAAGTGGTTGGATCACTGTTCCTGAAAGTGTTCAAAAACATGTAGATGTGGTGCTCAGGGACATGGTTTTAGTGGTGGACCTGGCAGTGTTAGGATAATGTTTGGACTCAGTGTTCTTGGAGGTCTTTTCCAGCCTTAATGATTCTATGGTCACAAACAGCCCTAATTCTGCAGCTTCTGCCTTTCAGTATCCCTACTGTGGTTCACTGGGAAACTTTCTGTCATGTGTTGGGTCAGCATTTCTTGCCACTTATAAACTAGAGCAGAAACAGTTCTCAAAGAAGCCTTAAATGGGAATGTGGAAGGAAGCCTTAAATGTGATATAGAAGTAAACAACCTAAAAAAGTTATTTTTATTGTCTAGCCCACTCTAACATTGTTTTGGAGAACATTCTTCAGTCAAAGTTTTTATCAACTGATTTGTTTAACACTTAAGTGAATGTTGACAAACACCATATTTGTCTAGTGAAGAAGAATATTAAAGGTCTTGAACACCAACACAATAAGACTTTGTTCTGCCCAATAAAATTTAATATGTTGATTCTTCATACAAAAAGTCCTCTGGCAATTTAATTTGCTTCATTCCTTGAGTGATAATTACAATCTATGAGCTCTTAGTAGTCATTCTGTAAGAATAATGTTGTTTTATAAACAAAACATGTAAACAACATAATTTATTGTTCTTTTCAGATCTACCTGGACTGCAATGTACACAATACATTGAAGGACTGCAGAGGGAAGCACAACAAGCTCTGAATGAACATGTTAGACTCATTCACAGAGGTGATGAAGCCAGATTTGCCAAGCTGAATGTTGTTTTATCCTTGTTAAGATCTATTAATGCTGATGTGATGGCTGAATTGTTCTTCAGGCCCATCATTGGAGCGGTGAACATGGATGACATGCTTTTGGAAATGCTTTGTGCAAAATTATAAAGGCATGTAAAATAATGAAAGTAAGTCCAGTGCAAAGGAAGCCCTAGAGCAGAATAGTGTAAAGTATTGTAAATAAACTAACTTATTGTTTTTACATAGATAGTATTTTTGTATTCCATAATAAAATATTCTTCAAGATCTGAAATTAATTTTTATTAAGCAGTGCTTTTGGAATAAGATTACAGTCATCAAAACAAGCTTTAAGATTGTGGAGAATGTTCATATCCAAAGTCAAATGGCTATTCTTTTACCACATCTCTGAATAAAGAACACACTATATTGCACTTTCAAGGTGAGTAATCCCTGCTTTTTCAAGCAGGGATTTTCAAGCAAAAGTCTAGATTTACATTTTAAACATAATTGGCAGTCAGAAAGGGGGAATGAACAAGCCATTTACTTTGCATATTTCAGTGATATTGGAATAAGATACTATAGCAACCATTCTGCTCACAGTTCAAATAATGGCTCTATCAAAGACTTACTGTCAGTGAACTATTTCTATTGACTTTAACAGAGTCAAAGTCTATGAAGATTCAATACTCACCTAGGGTTTTCTTTGATATGGAGGAGATGCATAAAGAATATTTTGAGGCTTAATGAACCTTAAAGTAGTTTAATCAGCTCTAATATGTGCAGTAAAATATTCTATTCAACACACACTGTGATTCAGGAGAATAAAATAACTCTACTCTGAAAAACAACAAACAAACAAAAATGCCTCTAAAAATATCCGAACAGCAAATGCTCGTTAGCATCAGGAGAATGAGTAGGGTGGACTCTGCACTTCTTTCTGCTTTTCATGTGGGTAACTGTTAGCTGGGATTTCCATAGTCAGATTCTTCCAACTACTTATTCCTATGGAGAAATAAAACTATTATATGGAAACATGGTATAACACCCATCACAATTTGTCAGCTGGCATGAGGATGTCTTAATTAAGCATTGAGCTTAACACTTTTTTTGCTTTTGTTTTTCTTGTGTTGGACTTTCTCCTTTCTCCTGAAGAAGTTGTGATTTTTCTGGAAAAAAATAATAATCCTATTTTAAAAATAAAATCAGAAAGGGAAAATCAGTGATTTAAGGAGAGTTTGTTTCATGGTTTTCATTTCTTTGCATGCAACATTCTAGCCTTTTCCCTGGGGAATATTGGTAAATAACGAAGACTGAAGTACGACGGTGTTCCCAAAGTAAACAATATCAGTAACTCTCTGTATTGTTCACACATATATTTACCATAAGCAACAGGTGTCTTTTAAAACACCATTAATAAAGTTGAAGCAGTAACTCTCCTTAATAGGGGATGTGCAGGATAAAGGAACAAGTATGAAGAGCTTTCTTTTGCTGCCACCTTGCGCGAAGCCTAATCACAGCTGCTACACTAAAGTGAGGATCAGGGGGACTCTTGTTGGCTTGTACCTACCTGGATAAAACTTAAGGGAAGTAGAACTGGATAGAGAGGTAACCAGATATTCCTACAGGTTCAAGTTTATCCATAAATTTTATCACTGAGATTTGTATTGCTGCGGCAATAAGAGTCTCCTCATGAGCTAGGACACCATCACTGAGCAAGCAAAACAGAGCAACAAACACAGTCCTCATCCCGAAAAGCTATGGTGTCCATAAATACACACTGGTGCTCACATAACTGCGTGGGGTTGTGTGCCATGAGGAGTTCCCAAAAAATTCAAAAGAAGAAAAAATATATAAGTAAAGTGAACTTCACTACCAGGGCAGACTTCACACCAGTTCACACCATAATAGAACAGACTTAGTCTTTAAGTTGATCCTTTTATATGTGCACACACATCATATCCACACCTATAACAAATATAAACATCTACATATGGATAATATTTATGTATGTAGAATATATAGAAGTGTTCTGTGAGTTTACGATAACTTCTGAGCTTACCTGATGTCTCTGTAACATAAATATACGTCTACATTTCCCTCTTTTTCTGCAAACGGTATATGAGCTTAAAACAGTTAGCTTTCAAGGATGCCTGGAAAAGAACCCTCTTTCCACAAAAGCACAAAGTGCAATGATAAACATTTAAACAGTGATTGGCAGATGATGAATCTTGAGTAAGGACTAAAAAATACTCCAACAGCCTCAGATTAAAACAACATAATCGCCACTGAGCATGTATTAATATGTACACTAGTGTTCAGACTCTTCTGCTAAGTGGCAGAAGAGACTTGTTTGCAGTACTCCTAACAATTAAATGTACGAGCTGAACCTTGGTCACAGGCCAGCATTTTCAGCTGAACAGTCACCTTGAGACAGTTTGGGTCTATTGGGCCACTAAATACAAAAGTTTTGATGACTCAGGGGGACCTGCTTACATCTCCAGGTTTGATCTCTGAACAAATTCTGTATTCTGCTCAATTTTCTGAAGTTGTCATGAAAAATGTGCACAATTAATCCACCTTGAACTATACTCTATCATATCTCTCTCGGACCAGCAATACTGTTTGTCATTTAGCTGCTGTCTATTCTAATGGAAGCACCTGGGAACAGTAAGTAGAGGATCTGAATGGGAAAACAAATTTATCAAGGCTTTTTGTAGAGAAATGGCAAAAAAAAAAAAGAGTCTCTTCATAGGTCAGAGGAAGAGGAATGACAAAGCAAGACATTAAAAAGAGACTTGTAGGAGAAACCAAGCTGAAGACTTAGGAGAACCATGTAAGAATGGGGGAGAATGAGTGGGAAGGGTCTGATTTTACTGTGGGGGCAGTATGCCAGGAGCTGAGTAGAAGCAGTTGGATAGAGATTGTACCTCACAAAACAAGCCAGATACTGAGCAAAAAGGTTCCTATAGGAGGATTTTCTGTCAAGTCCAGAAAATTTGCAGAGCAAGGAAGAACTAACCCCAGAGGCTGACATAGAGGAGGACACAGGCATCCTCACTAACCTGCTGGAAGAGGGGGTCTGTTCTCTCCTCCGCTCTGGTGCTGCTGAAGAAGAGGCCACACTTGCAGCTGTGCAGGCGTGAAGAGCAGCTGCTCAGCCCTTTACCAGCAAATAAATGCTGCTTGCAGGATTAAATAAAACTACTCACTTTCCCAGACCTTTGACTCTGAGTGCTCTGCAGCACATTTTTGTACTGGGCAGGAGGAGTACTGAGATAGATCCTTTTCTGCCCCACCTCTGTCCTGTGCAGGGTGGGTAAACTCTGACTCAGATAGCCTAAATGGCCATGGCCACTCCTGTAACACAACAGGTGATCTTTCTGGATATCCCAGGCAGCAGGGGTAGGACAACCTGCTGGAGGCCTGAGGGAAGCAGGGTGGAAGGGAAAGCCAGGCATAGGAGATGGATGCTTCCATGGTCATGTAGCCTTTACTAGAAGGAGCTTCAGATAGCATGTGAGACCACTGTTTGTTGGCTATCTGGGAGTCCTGAGGAGGGAAAGTCCTGCCTCCAGCCCTGTGTGCTGCCGAGCAGTGAGTGCTGGGTTGTCAGAGGCAGCACAACATTTCTCCTCAAGCTCTTAAAGGTATCAGTAAAGACAGCTTTTTAGTTCAATACTGACATGACTTCAGAGGATTTTTTTGCATTTTCTCTGTGTGCTTTCTACCCTTTTCTGTTATCAGACCATTCTGGGCCTGAAACTCCGCAGGAGCATCCATTTTCTTCAACCCTCCAGTGTGTTAGAGACATTTTAACCAAGAGCAGCCTCCCAAGAAATCTAGCCCTAAAATCCCCACAGTGACTGCCTCAGATAGATGCAGTGTTGTACAAAAAGCCATTCCCACCACCTCAGCGTAGATATCCATTGCTCTGGGTCAGATCTGTGACACCAGCATACCACACACCAGGTTCTCATTACAAAGCACCACGTGGCAGAAGGTGCTGCTGTGTGATATCCTTTCCCCTGAAGCGAACGGAGACGGGATAATTTAGAAACCGACTTGCATTTTCATTTAATGGTTGTGAGTACTTCTATTAGGTAAGAAAAAGCCTAGCTCTTATTTATAATGTTACTTTTCTGAGTTTAATATATAACCTTTGCTTTGATAGTCTTTCCAGCAGTTTGCTTTAAACTTTGCAGCATTTTGCTATTTTGGGTAGACTGTGAATGCTGTTAATGCCTAATAAGTAGTAGCTTTCCTACCAAAGGTGTGATTTCTGCAACTTAAATTTTCTTGTTTTGGATTAACCTCACATACTGGTTTTGTGATACTGTCATTGTCATCTCTTTTCAAAGACAGAATTTATTCCTCTAGTGGACCTTCTGGACTTTGCAATATGTGGCAAAAAAAACCAAAATAAAGTAAAGCAAAATAAAATAAATGACCAAAAAAGCCAGTTGGTGATCTGTTTTTCTATCACTGAAAAAACATCCTGAACAGTGTAAGCAAATATTATATCAAAACACTTTGAAATTTTGAGATCTGCACACTCATACTGCCTCAGGACTCATAATATTTATTTTAAATTATGGAAGTTTAGTATTTTAAACCTGAAATGCACACAAGATTCAATAGCTGAAAACCAGAGACTGACACTAGCAAAGGAACTTGTACATAAATGTCCTTAAATCAAAAAGCACCGTGAGGTCACAGGGTTATAACTTGTTATCTCTACGCAAATCCACGAATCATTCACATCATTGATATAAATTGTGTTGCTGATATAAATCAATAGTCATTTCATTGCTCGTGTCAGTAACGAAATTGGCCCAGATTCTTTACATATTCACAAGGTGCCTAGATGTAGGTAAATAACCACACAGGTGTTATACAAGCACACATGATACAGAGACACATTTTCTTCTGTGCATGCTTATGTTACTTACCTATTTTATATCAGGGAAATTACGCAATTCCAGGCTCAAAAAAAGGTACCTGTTCTTTTATTGTACATATTCACTCACTATTTTGTCACACAGGATGAATTTCACCTTGATTAAACTGAGCTGCCTGAGAATTTGACACCCAGTCTGGTGGGGGCATTGAGGCTCTGGAGAGCCACAAAGACACCCAGGTGCTGTTTGATCCCAGCACCCCTATTTTAGGGCGGCATCATTGATTTGTACTTTGCAGAATAAGCCTAGATTCAAGTTATACACTGAACGGTTAATCACTACC